GCGTTTTTTTCCCACTTTTTGTAGTACGTTTTCAGATCTAACAGGTACAAGAAAATGGCCGTGCGTAGTGAGGTGATTGACCACAAAATTGAAGGCTGCCTGTGGCAGAGGCACTATTGCGTAAAGCGCAAAGGCCTCTGGGATGGAGATTGAGTGGTCCCCTCGCTTTTATTTTCGCTATCCTCGGGGGCGGAGCTACGTCACGGACGTTCTACGTTGCTACGACGCGCACCACTGTACATGCATTTCTATGGGCTTTGTGTGCGCTGCTGTGGAACGCCGGTGGAGCCGGTGAAAACTCGAGAAAACAACACAAACTCAACTTTGAAGTAATCCTGAACAACCAAATTCATATATGTTACACACGTAGGGTTAATCTTGTTACACTGTTCAGGGGACTCTCAACTACCACCTCAAAGTACCATTTTCTGCGGGTTTTGGTTCTTTGTTTTCACCACGAGGGTTGCCAGGCGGTAGAAAATGCCCGGATGTCCGCCCCCCCCCCCGAGGATAGGTCACGTGCGTATATTTAAAACACATTTAGACAGTTTGCGCCGAATTCAATACGCTACTGAGCATAATACTATACATATATGCAATGCATTATGGGAGAAGGCTTTTCATAATACAAGAATATATTACAACAAACTTGTATCAACCTGTTCGTTGTTTTGACAATATTTGGGTTCGTATAAATAATAATATATAACTTGTTCATTGCATGTCGCCGAACACAATTTTGAGATACGATGAAATAATGTTAACATAGATACCAGTGTAAAATGCCAATTTTAACAGTCTCCATCTCTGGGTACGTGTTATATCTATTCCACTACGTAAGAATGGAGCTTCTCCGAGCACGCATTTTGAAACAAACTTTGCAAACAATTTCGTGGTATTGTCATACATACTAGTATCCGTTTTAGTAGATATATCTGGGCGGAATCATAAAAGTTAACAAAAACTGCAACTTAATTTGTTTACGTAGGGCTCCCAGTCAACTGGCGTGCAAGTGATAATCAAATAAATGCGATAGTTGCCCAGCCATCTTGAATACGGCTTGAAACTAATGCCCTCTTTATTAGATTATTCAATCCACTAACCGCTCCTAGTGCAATCTACTAAAATAAATAAAATTCCACCCGATAAGAACTACCCAACCCAGGCAATGTCATGTGACTTTGGTCAACTTGTTCCGTCTAACCCATGCCCATGTGAAAACAGAAAAACAGAGTTGAAATACATTCGTTTGAATAATGTGTGAAAGGGGACAAAAATGCATAATATTTCTGCGGTAATGTTCTTGTGTTTGTAAACCAGCGCCCTCTAGAGATTTGTCGAGTATAGGCTCACTGGTATGGCATTGCCCTGCAGTGACTATCATCGTGACGATGTTGTAAATGTTGTAATGTCTTTAAATGCTTGTTAAAATACTGTAAACCAGATTTTTTTCTGGCAATAAAGTGAGTGTGCGTAAACGTACCCCATGTTCGTATTGACGTTACGTGTCTACTGACTGCAATGTTTACATTGCCTCCCGCTTCATATGTTTACCCGGCCTCCGGCCAATACTGACACGACATTTATTGCGACTATTAATCTACACATGCACATAGAAAGGATAGCAAAAAAATGCCAGACAAATAGCTTCAAGTATTCTTGCTGAGAATTTCAGCTTTTCACTGCAGTGGAACAAGAGTCCATTGGATTTTATGTTTTTTTTTTGTTTGTTTTTTGTAATAATCTTACACATCACATCAGTGCTATACACAAACTCTTTATCATAGACAGAGAGATTGTGGCTATAAACATGCTTACAGATTCAATGCTCGAATTCGACTCTATCTTTCACGCAAAAAAAATTCATCGATATTAATTAAATGCCAGTAGTAATCAGAGTGTATGTGAAAAACTTAATTAAATCTAATAAGAGTGGATCTCAGTGGATGAAGTTTTCATTTCCTTCGTATCCGTATCACGACGAACCCAAACGCAAATAGACTGGGTATCGACCGCATCCGGTAGTCATGACAACGCCCATCGATTATATTAACGCCATTTTGAAATTGGTAGACGTCATTGAAATACAACTATTGATTTGCTCTTAACGCTCGCTACTCCACGCTCATGGTTACTACGCACATGGTTACTACGCACCCGAGTCAATATTATACCGTCCTAACTAAGCTCTTTTCCGACATGAATTAACATCGGGAATTTATTGCTAGTTGTGTGTCTTGAAACGGTCCAACATTAACACTCAAAGTGTTATTATATTGTCGGTTCTTCTAATAATAAATTTAAATGTTTCTTTTTCATCCCAGCGATTATTTGAGAATTCGCTCCCTTTGCGGACCGATACAAAAGAGGCAAACGGATATTGCGTTCATTTAAACAACTATGAGCTCTTTCGTCCGGTGGATGTTTACCAATTTAACGCAGAAAAGGAAACAAATACACATAAAATGGAATATCTTTCGCAAAGGAGAGTGGGTCAAAGTTTATGAATTACGCAAATTAATTGTTCAACCTTATTCTTTACTAATTATGAACTGTTGAACACAAATGCCGTTTTTCTATCAATCAATGATATTTGGAGTTCTTCTAAAGCTAGGGATGAACCAATATTTATACTGGGTGGTAGACTATTTTTGCCGTTTATGCTTTAAACACATATTTGGATCATCACGTGATTCCAATTATGCACATAATTATTCCGCCATTCCTCGAAACAAAATTTGCCTAATTATAATCAACCTCGATAGAAATAACGGTCCATCCCTTAAGATGTCCATGTGTTTCTATTTACCAAATTAGAAGTTTGTACCCTATTATTTTCGTGAATTCCGCGAGCCACAGAAAAACGCAAAATTGTGTAGCAGTTTTCGCGAAATTTCGTCCCCATATATGCCGTTAAAATTCAATATACAGCATATATTACCGTATATACCGTCAACAAAGCAAATAATTGAAAAGATGCATGGTTCCATGAGTATGAACTGTTTCAACCATTATGGAATGTTATTGTATCCATTGGCGGCTCAGTGTTGTTATTTTTTTAAAACGAACGATTGTACACATCCACGAACGGTAATTATTGTGAGTGTTACGAGACTTCAATAATAGGCCACTTAGTCGCTCGTAGTTGTTGCCTGGAAAGGTCACCGCCGACTATAAAATTGAAGGATTCGATCGATCCGCCGTGACGTCATTTGACGAAGGCTAGTGTTCACTGCTTGGCGAATACCTGTCAAAGTTATGTTTGATCGGGAGATTCCATTGTTATATCGGGGTGAGGGTAGTGTGTGGAGGGGAAATGGGTGAACGTCGTTCCCGTATATTTGGTTCAGTAATTCCGTTAGATCTCGTGTTGATAGTTGTGAAGGGTGTTCGACGTACGCGAATGTTGAAGGCGTTGTTATTGCGTTATCGCCGTTTTTGTATTTAAACAATTCCCATTGTTTTAAAACCAAATTAGAAATTCGTTGAATATTTTCGGGTGCGACGTGTTGTTTGTTTACGCCTCTCAAAGCTCTGAGTATTGGACGGTCACAAACAGAGACGAGCAACTCTTGCATAGTCGCACCTCACCAACCTGTTGCCCCTACCTACCATATAATAGACATGCAAATAACGCTATATTGAAGTCTTCACTATAACTGACGTGCCTTATTATTGTGACTGTGACAGCGTGGAAGCCGACAGCTTATTACATTAGCTCCCGTGAATAGAGAGCCTACACGCCGAATGTCAACTTAACTGGTGTTACTCGCTCCTTCGGTTGTCGCGTGTTTTTATCCCACCCATTAAGCACTTACTTAAGCAAAATGTCGAGGAGACATCTCCGGCTAAGGATAGACTACGACCCGTTCTATAAGGGGAAACGGATGAAGCTCCGGGGCAAAGAGTTGACGGAGATCCCGATTGGGATATTCAATCTGACGGAGCTCGAGATACTCGACATGAGTCCCCAGCGGGAATCTTGTCTGAATTTCCGCTTGATGGAGGTGCCCCGAGAAATTCGGAAACTGTCAAACCTACGCGTGCTCTGCTTGGACACGAATGACCTGACGGATATCCCGACAGAGGTGTGCTTTCTGAGAAACCTGGAGAGGTTGTCTATTAGCAACAACCTTTTAACCTCGTTACCATCGGAATTTACGCAGTTGCAAAAATTGAAAAGTTTACACATGGCTAACAACTATTTCGACACCATACCGCTAGAGGTGTGTAATCTCGAAGGCCTCGAGTTCTTGGACGCTAGCGACAACAAAATTAGGAGTATCCCCGAAGAGATCGGTTTTCTGACACAGCTAGTGACTCTCGGCCTACTCTACAATTTCTTAGAACGTCTCCCGGACGGTATGTGCAAATGCGTGCGACTGAGAAGTCTTTGGCTCGGGAAAAATAAACTTCAGAGTCTCCCGCGCAACTTCGGTCGCCTGAGAGAACTCGACTGGACCGATTACCAGAACTCGTCGAATTTAGAAGGGAATCCGTTAAAACACCCGCCTATCGATATAGCTCGTAAGGGCCCCGAAGAGATCGCTAATTATTTCCAGTTGAATGATGAGATCGACTCGTGGCAAGAAGACGACGAAGACGAGGATCAATCCGGCACATCGTTACCGATGACAAATGGCAGCTTTTAGCCCAAAGGTGAGTAATCAGTAAGAATCACCTGTCCCGTTTATATAGAAAAAAAATCACCAGTCTATGATTCTAGTAGTTTGAAATAAATTAAGAAGAAAAAATACTGAAAGCCATCTCACTAGAATTACGCTTGCTGTATTTGAATTTAATTCATTGCTGTACTAAAATTATTAATTCAAATTTTATATTATTCATTATACCCGGTGTTACGTTCCCACTGTGACAAAAAACGGTAACAGAGGCGCTGTTCCCCCTGTGATTTTCTTATTCCCTTGCAAAAATAAAATGAAATAATTTGAGCTTTAAAAAAACATTGTGTACAACTAGCAAAGATTTTATTTGGGGAGACTTTCCCCCTCCATTGTTATTAAATCATAGGAAAAACACTGATACCACGTCCGGTCAAATATATATAAGATATTGTGACACGTTCGTTCTCTAGTCTGAGGTTCCGATATGCACTCGCATTGGTTTGTAATAAAGTGTCTATGTAAGCATGCAAAGTTAAATTGATACGTAGACGTTGGCGGATTATCGCTGTAGACTAATATACTTTTTCATCAAAACCAATCTACTCGTACAACCACGTATATCAGGAGACAGATGAATCTATTGGCTTATTTAAATATAAATGAGATGGAATGAAAACGATGACACGAAGACAGTGTCAGATAATCCCGACTGACTCATGTAAGCACTGTTCCGGGTTTTCTTGTGAATAAAAATGACGTTACATTTTTTATTTCTAAACTATTCAAATGTTGATGCAGTAAACCAATTTGCTGCTCGACTTACCTCATCATCGACGGGATGTGCTGTTATAATGCATATATTAAATTTAGTTCCGCATAACTTGTCTTATACCTTATTGGATGGGAATTTATTAACAACTAGTCAACATTGTCCCAATATTTTTCCCCTGGGGCAGCGGAGAGCACAACCACGTGCGAGGCGTTATTATTACAAACGAAAGAAATACTGTAAATACACCATCATTAACCCTTATGTGGTCGAGTCAGTCACGGAGTGTAAATTCATTTAACAGAATGGGCAGAATAGTCTTGTCATTGAAGGAATTTATTGGTTCGCTTACAAAGTCACGTGACAGAGCTGAAGTCATATGTTTGTACCAGTACTATTCGCATAGCATTCTGGCAGCGACTGTTAACACAAAAACTGTTTAACCGATACAACAAACTTGAATCTACTACTAGTATCACAAATCACGGTTACATATATGTTTTTCCCATTTTCCCCAAAAAGAAAGAAAAGAACTTATCAATACGTGCAGTCAACTTGAATTACAAATTACGTGTATGAACTTTTGGTTGAAAATTGTAGAAAATTACATTAAAATGTGTAAAATTATTCACGACGGTTATGGCGGAACAAAAACTTGAATATTGACCAGAGGCTTTGGGATTTATCGACATAATGGTTCCATCTTACTGCGTCAGCCTTCCAAATTATTATGATCCATGCTGTTCCCGCCACCAACCTGTTTAATCCTCATCACACCAGCTATGTGCCGTGTGTTTTTTTTCACATTGACTTGACCAGAAAAGGGTTGAAGTAAAAAAAAAAACATCAACAAAAACGCAGTCACAGTCGAATAGTCCCTTTTAAAACATAAAAGTTTGAATTGTACGAAGATAATCGTGAATGTATAACCAATTATGTCTCCATGTGTTTTCCAGTCACCGAACCCTGCGGTGTGGTGTACTCATGCCTGGCTTAACTGCCCGTGTAATTTCCAAGATTACATATAGCTAAAATAGACTTTAAGAATTTAAATTCCAATGGAAAACAAAATACGAAAGTGCATTACACAAACAACGGGGGTGGCCGTTGATTATAACAATAACTCGAGTGGTATTTAAAGCCGGGAGTTAAACGCCTGTGCATTGCGGCCATCTACGGGACATCGTGATTCTATCGAAGATTCTACTAGGATCAGCAATCAAATGATGACCCCAAATTCCAGATAATCTAACCGATCCGATAACGGTTTAATCAAACGAACACTTGTTAAGTTCTGGTCTCGATATCAGTCCACCGTTACGAAAGTACCATCTTCACTACGAGAACGACACCGGGGGTTAACTGTTTATACGTAAAGACCAGCCTGATAAAAGAACAATAGTCCCTAACGGCGCGTACAATTTTAAGTTATATACTAGTACAGCGTCCTTGGCAACGTCTCTATTATTAAACTAACGACAATAAAGTACTGTCGTCGGAGACACCGAGGACAGGGCGTAACTCTTAGTAGATATTTTTGCCACAGGCTATTAACCAGGTTCACGGAGAACGGAAAAAATATTATTCAATTTGATGGCTTTGTTAAAATAATTCCTTTGGTTTTATTGGCAGACTTTCATTTTTATTGATTGCCGGGACAACGGTATCGGCGTTTATCATAGTTGTACGGCGTTGTGAATTGAATTACATGTAGTTTAGTTCGTGTGTTTATTGTTTGTTTTCTCTCGAGTAGATTTAAACTTATCTGACCCACCCAACACGAAACAGATATAAGTGTTATTTACTGTGGGTGAGTGCCACATGTATATCACTATAACTAAACTCTATTTGTGGCAAATGTTGGGGAAACAATTTGCCCTTTACTCTCTTCCTATTAGCCCGGTGAGCAGACATAACAATATATCATTTAAGGTAGCCGAAGCACATCGCTGGAGTGCACGCAACTATTCTTCTGTTCCAAATACGTGATCTTGAATTTCAAAGGTACAACGAAACCGTGTGACGCCGAGTGGACGATGCCTACACGACACAGAATCAAGAGCCACTAGCAAACATATTTAGAAGTTTTCAAGTTTCTGCAACAAATAAATTGGTTAATGAATTGTTATTTGAGTTCTTCATACGTACCAGTATTTCAAAGCGCATGCGCACATACGCTGGTGAATATTTCATCGAATGAATACTCTTCTGTACTCGACGCAAACGTTGAATCATACTCAACTTAAGCTTGAGATAGTAAAGTATAAAACAAAAACGATATCCACATTTAACCATACGTGCCAATGAAGTTTGAAAGTGGTATATAGAATAACGTCCGCTTGACACATAAACACCTCGAGCAATGACACAAAGATCATTGATCCTCGCGGTTGTTGTCAGCGCTGTATTGCTATTGTCTGAGTATACTTGTTGTTTTTGTGAAGCAGTAACCTGACTAGTGTCCTCATAAACAATCTAATTGTTATCTGGGTTTGTAGAATGGCAAATATGGAAAAATGGGCATATAGTATCTGTAGATTTCAGTGTCCGAGTACGTCACCCTATCCGCCATTTTGTTTATCCTCGTTCGATGTTAGTCGTATCTTAATCACTAAAGTCTCCTGAGTAACTATTTATATAACCAGGACATGGCAGGTAACTGTTTGATTTGACATACCACACAAAACCTAAACCGGTTATACTTGCTTGGTGCATCGTGAACAAATCTTGAAAAATCTCGAAGTTACTGACGTAATCGGCCGTATTATAACAATCCCCGGAAACACACATATATGGTCAATTACTGGATATTACTAGTAATACGTGATCATGAGAAAACTTATCGTTGACAGAAAAGTACAATTTGTTGTATCGTCCCGGGAGTGCGTATTTACTGTTGTCATGGATACCACTTCACAATATTCAATGACTGTTCTCAAATAATCGATCGTATCACATTAAAACTAATATATTAGCAAGTCAAACACACACACGCCTGGTATTATTTGACTACTCATATCGGATGCCGTTATTTATTTCTATTGGCAATCTGATTCAGAAACCGTGAGATTTATCGACTTGTCAATATTTTAACCATTAAGTGACCCTTTTAATCGACTCCATTCTGGTATCTCGTGTGACTTGTTTTATTTCAAGTCACAGTAGTCACCATGGAAACACAACTAACGTATGCACACGAGTACCACATTAAACAATATAGATCTGAATTTAATATCAATATATTCACAAACTTAACAATTAAAATATATATTGTTAAGATTGAATAACAAAATACTTAATTGAATATAAGATCGAAAATAAGTATGATTTTTTTGGAATATCAAATGTCGCTGATGAATGAAAAGAATAGCAATGTTTTTGGGTCTCATGTGTGGTATTAAATAAATTCGATAGAGAAATTAAAAAATACACATCTAAATCTTAAATTAACGTTATTAATGAAGCAATATTTGCATGGTGATACATTTCATTAAATATTGATGTATGTCACTTCTTACGTGCTTCACTTACTTCGAATGCGTCAAAAAAAACAAAAAAACAATGTTTTGAAGAGGTTTACAATCCTAAACGACGAATGATTTTCATAGCCAATCACAGTTGTCAATATGAATGACGTAGCTTTCATGTGATATACGTGAACTACACCACTGAATTACCACAGGGCACATTCCCGCTTAATAGTAGGGATTATTTGAGTTGGAAATATAATTAATCAAAATGTTCAATTATGTATCCTGACTCAAACCACCTATATACACGGAGCACATATATTTGCGGTGTTTACATTTGCACTTTAATAACAAGTGTCTCAGTCAACTTGATGGGGAGAACTGTCGAAATACTGTGCGTTTTGCGGGGGTCGCCATAGTAACCTCAGAGAAGAAACAATAACAAGGAATATCGGTAGCCATGGCAAGTTTTCGTACGCATTTGGTACCCGTTTTATACTGTTTGCTCTGCGCTACCGGCGTGTCAGTCACGTATACACAGCCTTCAATACCAAACAAACAAACACACAATCAGTTTGGTTCGCACCCGTTACGTACGATCGCGGTATAATCATGCTCATTGGTTGGAAATATCGTCCTGGCAACGGTGTCGTAGCTTTCAAAACAACGCCGGAAATTGAAAAGTTTTTGGGGCGAGGGAACTTCTGGCGAATAAAAAGTCAATGAACATTTATTTGTAATAAAACAAATCCCAGATCTTTTAAATATCAGGCCAGTACTGTAATAAT